CAACTGGAAGGGCAAGTAAGGTATCCTGTCCCCTCTGTGGTCCCTGTATCTGCAGCAAAACGTAGGATATATAAAGAGCCTATTCATTGGAATTCTGATGGCAAAACTCCCATGTAGCCAGAGCTTCTGCACAGAGAGAGAGTCAAGAAAAGTTGTGCCTGTGATCCTCAGATTGACGATGCTGACTTCATGTTGGATCCACAGGAGGATCATGTCCAGTTTTACCTTTCAGCATATCTCACTGAGCCTGATTATTTAAAAACTATAGCCCATGCAAGCTAGGTTAAGATAATTTTCCTCTAAGTGTAGAGGTTATAGTCCTGAGAACTTGCTGAGGCTGGAGTCAGAGAGGGTAATGAACACAGTGAGTGCAGAAGGGAACTTGGGAACAGGTATGGGATGAAGACCTAGCCACAGAAGATGGCACAGACCTCATGGAGTTAAGCTGAGTCATTATGACTGAACTGCACCTAATGTGGTCAGTCCTTTCACTAAGCAGTTGGGAGCCCAGATCCAAAAACCATTCATGAATTCACTCTGCCTCTGGAGGCTTATCTAGAGGACACAGCATTTCCTTGGCCCCTAAAAGAACTGGCCGCATCAGCTCTCACGCACCTGAGACGCCACAGACAGGAGAGGGAGGTGGCTCATCCAGGGTCACACTTAGGGCAGGTCTCAAGTGGCCAAGTGATCAGAAAGAAAGGGAGGCACCCACTATAGCCATGCAAGGGTGAGGAAGGCTGCGAAACTCCAGCCCAGATTCCTTTCAACAGTCCCTGTGTCACCTCACATCTCCGAGGGGCTGTCTCAGGGCCACCTCATCACTGTAACATATGGCCATTCTCTAGGACAGGTCACCCCAGAGAGATGCACCTGCACCTGCACAGCTTCCAGGAGGACAGCTGTTGTCCTCTTTTGGGAGGGAAAGACAAGGAAGAACCAGGGCTAAAACATCACCAAATGTAGCTTCCTCCAGTTTTCCGGCTTCAGAGGGTCATATGCAGCCGCCCTAGCCAGAAGCTGATCCCCGTCCCAGATCCTGTGACTGACGGTCAGAGTGCCCACCCAGCCTAATGGCACTCCTGCTCTGACCTCGCTTCCCACCGCCTCTGATAAGCTCTTCCTTTAAACACACGGCCGCACGCTCTCACTGCCACCTTCTACAGCCAGTCCTGTGCTCTGAACCCTGGCCCCTGATGGCAGCCTTTTCTGCAGGGAGGCCACTGTCGGGCCCAGCGTGGGAGTCACTGCAGCCCTACAGTCAGTTCTCTGCCTGGGCGGATGGCCCACAAGCATCCACGAGCTGAACTCCTCCCAGCTCTCCTCCCCCTCCTCATGGACGGGGGATGCCGATGGAGCTGGCCCAGCCCGAGTATGTCTCTGCATGGGCGGATGGCCCACAAGCATCCACGAGCTGAACTCCTCTCAGCTCTCCTCTCCCTCTTGGAAGGGGGATGCCGATGGAGCTGGCCCAGCCCGAGTACATGGCCTGCTCTTCTCTCCCCGCTGAGAGGACCCCCCCCCCATCAAGAGGTGGGGGCTGCGCCCTCCCCTTGCATCCAGGCTGGACCAACAGAATGTTGGATTTGGTCACCCTGTTTTTAAAAAAAACAGCACTGGGACCTCCTGTGACCTCACACGACCTGCTCCCTTGCCAGTACCTGTCCAATCTGCTCGGCTCTGTGACCTCCTAGAAGTTCCTCCTTGGAACCACCCACAGGTGCACAACTGACAACAATGGCTCCCTCCCACGTGATCCATGCTCACCCTCACCACAGCACACCCAGAGGAACCTTAACTACTCTGGAGACAACACTACTTCCCTCCTCTGGGCTTTTATCAGTGTGGTTTTGGGAGAAATCCTACTCTAAATCAAAAAGAAGCAGAAACCAGCTCACACAGCAGCAGGATTGCTTAAGTAAGGTATCTTCTGCCCATGGCGCTGGCCGACTCAGCTTCAAAGAGCTCAAAGTAGCCAAGGCAATTTCTCAAGGTTCCTTTCAGACTTAAAAATAGAGATGGGAACTCCCAAATATACAGAAGCACCTCTGGGAAACTGTTTGCTTGAAGTGGGAAAGCTGAGAGCCTACAGGAGCCCCCGAGAACCCTGGAGGGTCCTGTACACAGGCTGACCCCTCCACAGCCTTGGGCATCTCGCCTTCACGCAGGTGACCATGACCAAGTCCAGCTGTGGAGCCAGGGGCCAGTCAGGGAACCTGCAGAGGGGCTCAGCAGAGGGAGGCAGGAACTCAGGTGCCACACTCAGGTGAGATTGGTCTAGGCCCAAGGCCATGTGCATTAGAGACCCCTTCCATACCATACTTGGGGTGGCCTCTCCCACGGCCCCTCTTTCTACCCGGTAGCCCCCTGGCCCTCCAAGTGTGCCCACACCTGAGTCTGCACTGGGCCCTCAGCCCTCAGGACACTTCCCATTGTTACACACCTGCCATTCTCTCCTCCTGCTTGAGTACCTGGCTATCCCAGGAAGAACTGGCTACCCGCCCTCTGTTCCTGCACCTCACACTATCAGGGCACCCAGAGGTTCCTGTTCGTCCTTGGCTATGAACTCCTTGCCTCCTCACTTTTGCACTCCTGAGTCTGGTGAGTGACGGATAAATGCTGGAACAGAGAAGAGGGTGGGAGCCAGCAGGTATGACACCCACAGGCATGTGCAACTTCAGGGCTTCTCTGTGCCCATGTAAATACGGGTGAGATGGGGGCATGGGGCTCACTACCCACGGGGTCTACTTTGCCCCACGGCCTCGACGGGCTGCCTTGAATCTGATACCATCTCCCTCCTCAGAGGCCACTCCGATGCTCTCCTCTGGCTCCTGGGTTCTGTGGAGGGCACACTCAAAGGCATGCTCACTGGTCTCCTTCACTTGGGAGTCAACTGAAGCATAGATCTTCACACGGACTGCTCAAGGTCAACCCAATCCTGGACTAGGCGTGACTTCAGTCCTGGGCCTGGTAAGTGTCCCACTAGCTGTGCAACTTCAGGCTGATTCCCAAACTTCTCTGAGATGGACTAGTCCTGGCAAGGCTGTGTCGGCACTGAATTGTATGGCATTTCCTCCCCATCTGGGACCCAGTTCCTCAGGCTATCACATGCACTCACCTGCTCTTGACTTTTTTCAAGGGTCTCTCTGAGCTGTGACTGTGACAGTCTTAGGCTCTGACATTCTTGATTCATGTGTTCAAGTTCGAGTCCAAGTTTTTGGATTTGGTCACCCTGTTTTTATTTAAAAAAAATCAATTTCACAAGTATAAGAAATATCTCAGCAGTCTGATATATTTTTAATGCAGAAACTTCAGAAAATTACAGAAAAGCCAAAATTTAAATCACCCATGATGATTCCACCAGCCCAAGGCCCACACCTGACATTGTGCTGTCATCCTTTAGCCCTTCCTCTACACACAGCATTTCTATTGTACAGTGTCATATGCTGTGCTTTCCTCCTTATTATACCCTGATCATTTCCCCACGACATTAAAATATTATTTGAAAACATGGTTTTTAATGGCTGTACCATAATTTATTGACTCATTCAGCAAATTGCTGATAGGTCATTCAAGCTGATTCCAATTCTGTTTTGCTATTATAAATATCACAGCAATGAAAATACTCCCACCTAAGTCTTTACACAATGTTCAGGTAAAATTCCCAAAAGTAGAATCATGAAGCCAGAGGATACTGACATTCTTGATGCTCTTGATACATATTTTGCCAAACTGTCCTCTGAAGAGGTGGTACCAATTTATTCTCCTATCATCAGAATTTAATTCCTTTCTAGTACTTTTTCTAGATACCATGGATTTGCAAAAGCTGCTCAAGTCCATATATTTTCCAGGGCTTGCTTGTTAAGACCCTCACTTCTCCTGTGAGGCGGCGCCCACCTCTTGGCATTTTAGGGCTCTTCCTGACTGTTTCAGGCTGCTTTTCTAACATGCCTGAACCTCTCTGCCCCACTGCCCACGGGCCACTACTCTCACCTGCAGCTCCTCCCGGCATCCAGCCTCCGCCAGTCTCCGTGTTAACAGCTGAATGGTGATGTAGTTATTCTCATTTTGGGCCCGTTGGGTAGAGGCCTCCTCTCCCAGCTGAAGGACCTTGTGGTTAAGTTGGGACAACTCATCCTTGCATTTCTGACTCTAGATCAAAAAGGGTGGAAACACCGATGAACAAGTTAGTTTTTTAAACCAGCAGCTCAATTCAGATCATTTCAGTGGTTCTCAACCAGGGACACTTTTGTTCCACAGAGGACATTTACAATGTTTCGAGACACTTTGGTTACCACAGCTGGGGCAGGAAGACTGGTACTGGCAGTTAGTGGGTGAGGTGCTCAGTATCCTGTGGTGCAGACAAGGACCAGCCCAAATGGCAGCAGAGTGAGCAAGTGAGACCTTGCACCATCCCCAGAAGAAATGAAACACATCTGGGCCACCAGAGGTGGTATATGCCATGAACACTCAAACCACTGTTCTGAATACCTTTCATGTTTTTCTCATTTCTTCCATGGTTATTTCTAACGTTATTTTCAGCAATTTGAAGGAAAAAATCCTAATTTGAGGTATACGAATCTCTTCAAAATTTCCTCTGATTTTTGTCATTAAACATGTAAATGTAGCTTTCAGCAGGGTGTATGCATTCATTAAATTGTATATATTGCTCTTTCTCAATAACCACCACCCAACAGATAGTGGATGCTAAACAAATGCTCGCTGGGTGGATGAGCAAATGTACTAGGAGCTGAAACAGCAATTAGGAAGTTGGCTCTACAGTCTTTTACCATGGAAATTCCAGTTACTTTCAACTATTTGTCATGTATATCTTCATACAAGCCACATTTTTGCTTATTTGCTTTTCCCACAATAGTCAACTCTTGAGGCCAAGGCTGAGTGTCAGCAGCTCTCAGGTGTTTTCAGAGTGACGTCCTCTGAGCTGGCTTCAGCACTCTTGGCACTCTTTCCCCAGGACTGTTGTAACAACCACTTTACTTTTATGTTTTTGAGGGTCTGATAGCACATAATAGAACCTAGAAGTTGTTTCAGCTTAGATTACTCAAGCTTAGTGAGGCTCCACATTTTTCTTGCAATGATTTCTCATTTTCTTCTCTGTAAACTGATCATCACCTTGACCTTTCCTTAGAGCCTCAGAACTGAGAGGGTGAAGAGGTGTTTCCACCACATCATAAGTTCATGGCAGGTACATCTGGTATGGAGTTCCCTTGTGTTTATAACATCTTATTGTGAAAATTAAAATTGTTTTTCACTATCAATACACATTCACCTTTGTCCTCTGAGGACACCCTTGATTCCATTAACAACCAGAATGGAAACTTTCTTCAACTGCTAGTTGATTTTCTTCATATATTAAGTTTTCTTGGAAATAATTTCAAACATACAGAACAGTTGCAAGTCTAGTATGGAGAACATCCATGCACCCTTTATCCAGGCTCACCGGCTAACAGCATTTTCCTTATCTGCTTTGTGGTTGGCATTTTCTATGCATACACACATAAGGTGGTTTTCTGAGCCACAGCCCTACAGTACGTTTCCTAAGAAAGGGAGTGTACTCTCACATGGCTACTGTGCAGTTCTTGCATCAGGACGTGCACCTTGATGTATCACACACACTCCAGTTTTGTCAACTGGCCCGATTATGATCTTTGGAGCACCTCTCCCTCCTAGTCTAGGATCAGGTAGGTAGTGCCTTCATCTGCCAGGTCATTTTAGCTTCCTTGAATTTGGAATGTTTCCACAGCCTTCATCTTGTATGACACTGAGATTTTTGACAAACACAGTCCCTTCCCTTCTCCCCTCTTTAACAGTTCCTCATTTGGGGTTGGTATGATGCCCCCTTGTGATTAGACTCAGGCAATGTGTTCTGGCTAGAACACTGCTCAGGTGCTGCTGTATCTTCAGGATACCACATTGGGAGGTGTGGGAAGACAACTGTGTCTTAGTGTTTGTGTTGGTCACCTCTTTAATTCCAATTTGCATTAATCTGGGTTTTACTGCAGAATGAGATGTTAGCAGCAGTCTCCTGAGCACATGGATATTTGTGCTAAATATGTCTATTCTGAATCTGATCAAGTCTTGGCTTAATTTCCAGTTTATAAGTAAAACAAGGGACAGAGGACCAGATTGAACACCACCATCAGGAAACAGCTGGACAGATCCACAATGTAGGATGACCTATAAGACAACAGCACCATGGGGGAAAGACAGGTGTTCTAGATTAAAAAGACTAAAGACATATCATAGCCAACCATATTTTACAAAGATGTCCTCAACAACAATTCCCATGCCACATCCGCTCTGCAATGTGACCTAGATACTCGCTCACTAAGATGACCCTATGTCCCTCCCTGTGGCTCTGTGAGGTCTTGGTGATATAGAGTGATTTCCAAGGTGGGGTCAGAAGCCTTGTGCCTTCCACCTAGTCCTCCTGGAACACTCGATATCTGATGGCACCCTCATGACACTTCCTTCAGGAGCCCAGTCCCATGGAGAGATGATTCCAGCCCCAGCCATCTCGGTTACCCTAGCTGTCCAGTCTTCCAACCAAGGCCCCAGTGTCATGGAGAAAAGATGGGCTGTCTGCTCTGTACCCTGTCTGCATCCATGATCCACAGGCTCCATGAGCACAGAAAAGAGGCTGTTCTATGCCAGTTAATATGGAATAGAACTGATAGTTCAATGCAGTATGTCAACCTCAACTGATCCTCGTTCCAAAAATTTACTATGTAAGACATTTCCGAATAATTGGAGGAACGTGGATATGGTCTGAATATTGGATAATAGTAAGTATTTACAATTAAGTTTCTTAGGTGTGATAGCAGTACTGTGGTTAGGTGGAAAATGCACTTTTAGGAGATGCCTGTTGAAATATTTAGGAGCAGAGAATTATTATATCTGTAACTTACTTTCAAATGCTTCAGAAAACAAACAAACACACAAAAATACAAAGACAGATATAAACAAATAACTAAAGCACATATGACAATTAACAACTGTCAAATTATGGTTGTGGTATGTTGCTGATCAGTGTACACACGTATCATTTCAACTTTTCTGTGTGTTTACAGTTTCTCACAGTAAAGAGCTGAGGGAAAGAAAGCAAGTATGACTGCTATGGACTAAGTTATGTTCCCCTGCTCCAATTCATGTTGAAAACCTAACCCCCAATGTGACTGTATTTGGAGATAGGGCTTTTAGGAGGTAATTAAGGTTAAATGAGCTCAAAGAGTGGGGTCTTAATATGACAGGATTGTGACCTTGTAAAAAGAAACAGCACGGTCTCTCTTCCTCTGCGTACATGCACCAAGGAAAGGCCACCTGGGGGGACACAGTGAGAAGGCAGCTGTCTGCAAGCCCGGAAGAGAGTTCTCACCAGGAATCAAATCAGCCAACGCTCTGATCTTGGACTTCTAGCCTGTGAGACAATAAATCTCCGTTGTTTAAGCAACACAGTCTGTGGTATTTTGCTATGGCAACCTGAACAGACTAGTACCATTTTGAAGTACAATAACAGCACTCTGTTCTCCTGCTCTCAAAGGAAACTACTTTACCAGAGTAGAACCAACATGGGAGAAGGGGAGACCCAGCTCCAGCCCCTCTAGCCTTTCTGTCGCAGTATGTATCTATCGGAGTAACCAAAATAAAATAGTGACAATACCAACTGCTGGCAAAGATATGGAGAAACTGGACCAAGAATACACTGCTGGTGGAAATGTAAACTCTTACAGCAACTCTGGATAACAGGTTGGCAGTTTCTTATAAAATTTAACATGTAATTACCATATAGCTCAGTAACTACACTCTTGGGCATTTATCCCATTGAAAAGAAAACTTATGTTCATACAAAAACCTGCAAAGGAATGTTCATAGCAGCTTTACTTGTGATAGCCACGAACTGAAACCAGCCCAGCTATCCTTTAAAAGGTGAGTATTAAAACAAGTTGTGAGATATCAATACCTTGGAATACTATTCAGCAAGAAAAAGAAGCTAGCTATTGATACATGCCACTTGGATGAATCTCCAGGGGGTTATAACATAGGAAAAAAGCCAGTCCCAAAGGTTACATTCTATATGGTTCTTTTATATTAACATTTTGAAATCATACAGTTTTAGAAGTAAGGGCAGATTAGTGGTTGTCAGGCGTTAAGGGCTGGAGTAGGTAGGCAGAAAGGAGGCAGGTGTGGTTATAAAAGAACAACATGAAGGATCCTTGTGGAATTGGAGCTGTTCAGTATCTTGACTGTGGTGGTAGATACATGAACCTACACAGGGAATAAAATTGTGTAGCACTCACTACACACACACACACACACACACACACACACACAGCACCTAAGTAAAACTGGTGAAATCTGAATAAGATCCATAGATTGTATCAATGTCAATAGCTTGTTTGTAAAATTTGTAATAGGCTGATTTGTGTCCCCCCAAAATTCCTGTATTGAAGCCCAAACCCCCAGTACCTCAGAATGTGACTATTTAGAGACAGGGTCTTTAAAGAGGTGATTAAGGTAAAATGAGATTATATGAGTGGGCCCTGATCCAATAAGATGGTGTCTAATAAGGCGAGACGAGCCAGGAAAGACAGGGGGAGATGGCTATCTGCAAGCCATCAGTAACTGAGGGGAACATATTATAACCCATTGAATAAAACAGGAATCTATGATGGTAATATAATGATGTAAATGAATAAATAAATGGGGACAAGAAAGCTATTCCTCACAATGGAATGCCATTAATAAATGTATAAGGAATGGTGGGATTAGTCATCAATTCACTGCATCATGGTAATAATTGTCTCCACCAAGAAACAAAGGATGCTAAAGTAAGTGGGTGAGAGTTCGATAAAGAACAGAATGTTTACATAATCGCAAAGTATCCACTCATAAAATACTCATTACTTACAAAGGGAAAAGTTACTTTACTGTGGAATAGCCTGGCCAACATTACCTAAATAAGGATCACTAATAATGGGACAAATCATTGTACCCCTGATAGGATGAAATGAAAAGAACACAGTATCATTTTGGGGATATTCCTGCCAAAGATCCATAACCTAAATCTAATCACAAGAAAATATCAAACAAACTGAGGGACTTCCTATAAAATAATCACTTGTTACCTTCAAAAGAGCGAAGGTCCTAAAAACCAAGGACAGACTGATTGAAGGAGACTAACTGCCATGCATGACTCTGAATGAGTGGGGCAGCTGGCAAAGCTGAAGGGATAGGAGACTAAGGCAGGGATTCTGCGTCCCGTTCATTTCCGGATTTTGAGGGGGAGGGGGCCGACGAGTCAGCAACTCACTCTCAGATCTCTCAGAAAAAAGCTCTCTACTTTCTTTTTGTAAGTTTGAAATTATTCCAAAATAATGAAAAAAAAAAAAAAAAAGGAGGGTGGCATTAGCTTCATGCCAGGTGTCAATACTTGACCTGTGTGTTGAGCTCTTCCATTTCAGAGCAGGCCTTTTCTTTGTCTCTCTTTAAAACCTCAATTTCCTTCCTGTTAAAGAAGCAAAATTAACAATATTACTCTGATGAGTCAGTTTCTTTTTCCCCAGTCATCACTCATTGTAACTGCAGCAGCTTGGATGTGAAGTCACATAACACTCACATCTGCTCCTGGTACCCCACCAGCCACTGCTCTGTTACTATTCTATACTACTACTGCTGCTGCTGAGCCAACTGGATCCCAATCCTCAGAACCAGAAGACACTGCCAGTATTGTAGAACAAACACCCTCCATGACATTACTCAACTGTACACATTAATATCTCTTTAGCACAACAAGTGGCTATTCACGCCCAACAGCATAAAGATCAAAACAGCTTTATATCCGCTGAGGTCTGTTGACAAGGGGTGCTGGCAGCAAACTTAGGGAAAAAATGGTTTCTAGAATGAAAAAATCTTAACAGATTTTAGAATTGCTATAATGTAATAGCTACTACTTGTGGACTACCTGCTCTGGATTCCATATTTTAATCATCATGGCAATTTTAACAAATCAGCACTTGCATTCTCAGCATTTTAGAGCTGAGCTCATATTCAATTTCAGAGCTGAACAAACAAACAAAACACGGTCAACCATCTGTCCTTGGATAAGATAAGGCTACAGTAGTGAAAGCAGAAATCCACCAACAGGTTGTGTCCATCCCGCACCCCAACAGTCTCTCCTGCCTCAGTGCTCAGGTCTCTGCACCCCTTCCCATCCCCACCCCCTACCCCTGACTACTCACTAAAATCTGTAGACCAGAAATGAGCCTTGGAACAAAGCACAGCTGAAACCATTATCAGGACATGAACAAACAGATTCTACTTGCCCAGAAAGGCCTCAGGGGCACCTCTTACCCCTACAAAAATGCTTGCTGCCTTCTCCACTCCTTAGCGTGATGTGGAGTATTTCTGTAGGGGTGAGAGCTGCGTGCATATTGCCTTCTGAGATAAGCAGGCCTGTGCTGTGCTGCTCACTGTGGTGGTGGTCACTGTGCTGCAGCATACACGTGCTCTCTACCTCATACTTCTGAGACTAAGAGCTCAGGAATGAAGGTTGCTGCCAACATCTGGAAGGAGGTACGAGGCTTTTCATGCCTGTCCAGGCAGCTCAGAGGTCAGCACGGCTCACCCACTTAACGTTTTCTGGAATCCGGGGTTGATCTGTGAACATGTCCCACTTTTTACAGTAATACCTTCTCAGCTCATTCTACAAAGAGCAAAATGTGTCATAGGTTGGAAGTTCTGGGTGGAACCACTGAGACAGGGCCCATACCTCTGTGCATCATTTGTCCTTTCTGTAGATTCCAGCTCTTGTTGAATCCTTCCCAGCTCGTTTTTAAACAACGTGTTTTCTTCAGAAATTCTATCCAACTCAATTCTGCATGAAAAGTTGAAAAAAGAAAGTAGAGTGGGAACTCTAGGCACTGTCCACCATATGCAATCCACAAGTCTGGTCGTGCAGTTAGAAGTCATGGCAATCCTGCAGTCTATATTTCCCTTTCCCTAGATGATGGCATAGGGCACACTTTTCCTTTTTCTCTATCCAATGGTAACATGCTATGGTTTGCATCTTCCTAGAGATAAGCTACAGAAAACAAAGCTTTCCTAGCTACTAAAGTGGTCACACAATCAATAACTCACTAATGTATTCAGCACCTTGGTTCCATTTACTTTGTGTTTATAGCTGACCTGTATCTTATGACCTCTAACTGCAATGTATGTCTGTGGTTAGTACCAATGCACAATGTTCGGTGTGAGTCCTCAGGTTATTGCAAAGGATATTCATCTCCACCAGTGAACTCCAGCATTGAGCAAAGGAACACAAGGAATCAGAAGATCAAAATACATGGGCACATTTTCCTCTTTAGGGAGAGCACCCCACCTCCCATTCTACACTGTGAGGGTTCAGCACTGGGAGGAGAAACCTAGGGAGATGCCCACATCAATTTATGGAGTAAAACCTGATATTAGATAGATTCTTCAAGGGAAAAAGCAAGTATGAACATCTACTACATGAACCAAGTCTGCCTGGAGCTACCTTTGCTTTATTTTATTTTATTTTTATTATTATTATTATAA